GAATTACTCCTACTTAATGTATTAAAAACTAGCACTTACGATAGTCTTACTATTCCTAAGACCAGAGATAGATTGGAAGTTATCTATTTAGCATGTTTGTATTAAAACGGTTCTTGGACATTTGTATTAGAAGCCATAGATATTAAGTGCATTTAAAGTCTCTTATCTTAGGAGACATTACAAGTGTAGACTTGAAGAGACCCAGTTTGGCCTAGTGATTAAGGCACCAGTCTAGAAACTAGGAGGCTGTGAGTTCTAGTCCTACCTTAGACACAACGCCAGCTGGGTGACCCTGGGCCAGTTACTTTCTCTCAGCCCTGGGAAGCAGGCAATGGCAAACCACTTTTGAAAAACCTTGCCAAGAAAAGTGCAGGGACTGGTCCAGGCAGTCACCAGGAGTTAAAAACTGACTTCACACACACACACAACATAGTTGAAAGTCTGTATATATATTTTAAAAAAAAATCCTCCAGACCATAATAATGCCCTTTTGTATTGCTTTGCATCATTAGCAATCCACACAACTCTCCTTCCACATTTTCCACTCCTGAATATTTCCAAAATCCTGGTCTCATATCAGGGTTCTGCTTTCACCCAGAACCATGCAGGGAATCTTCTCAGTTTCCAGAACCCTCTTCCAAGAGCCCTGTCCCAGGGGTACCATGAGGCTAAGCACAGCTCCTGTTGACCTCCTTCAGTCCTAAGGCAGATTGTGTGTGTGTGAGTGTGTGTGTGTGTGAGAGAGAGAGAGAGAGAGAGAGAGAAGAACAGAGAGGTCAGCTGAGGCCATGTAGGATGGGGTGGGCAGGTTGGGTGAATGCACCCAAAGAACACAGTTACAGTAATACCTCAGTTCACGAACGCTTCTGTTCACGAACAATTTGGTTTGCGACCAGCACCCGCAAAATTTTGCTTCCGTTCGCGAACTCTGCATCGGGTGACAAACATGACCCGCAGCCATTTTCCCTGCTGACACATGGTCGTGGCTTCCTGTAGGGAGGGGGACTCTCCCTCCAAACAATAACCACCTCTCCACCCGCCTTCCTGTCCTCCACGCCAGAAGTCGCCTCGAGCAAGGTTAGTGTTCTCTCTCTTCGTACTTTACTGTACTTTGTTTCATATTTTTGTGATTTAAAAAAAAAGTACATATGGTTCAGAACGGATTAACCGTATTTACATTGAACCTTATGGGAAAATTTGATTCGGTTG